TTTTAAATAATTAGAAGTTTTTCTTTGCAATTTACAATAATGTTTCGATTATTACAATCGAATCAAACGAAATTTATTATCGAATGATCGTGATTGTGAAATACGCAGTGTGTTCACGTGATTATAAATAATTCTGGCAAAAAAACAAATAGTGACAACGAATGATTGCAACGAATAATCCTTCACATTGAATCTGGTAAAAAAATTTTTTACAACAATAAATCTATAATTTTAAATAATACTGTGTACACGATACAATACAACTATCAAAATCGATTTGCATGTATCGATCTGTTGTTAGTGAGCGAATTCATTATGTTCGTTTTAAATACAAATAAAGAATAAAAATAATTATTCCCTTGAAAATCTAAATAAGAATACGTGAATAATTACTAATTAATTACTTTTTACTATTTTATTTATATATATAATATATATAAAACATAAAATATTTGATTGCAATAAATAAATTATTCGTTATCTTTTTTGTTACTTTTGTGATTATAAAATAATAGAGATACGATATTTGATTATGAATTTATATTTTCCATAGCGTGACGTAATTTAGAAGTTTGTTTCTTATGAATGGTTTTCCAGGAAATAATTAACTTTTGTTTTGTAATACTATGCCTTTTCCTTTTCGTGTCGATCGTTCGATTATTCTTAATCTTAATCTTTTAGAATATTATATATTATTTCTAAAGAAAGTAATAATAAATTAATAAATTATTAGTTTGATCTTCTATTTGTACGAAATTTATTTTTTATTGATATACTATATATAATAAACAAATATTATATCTACATTTCGTTTTGAAAGTTTGATATGATTTTGCTTATTATTGAAAAGTTTTCATTCATGTAATTAAATAACTAAAATTTATATATATTTTTAATGATAGTGCATTTTACAATTTATTTGTTGAATTTACTTTTCAACAATTAGATATAACATTTTTATTTTTTATTATTTCTTATTTTTTTATTTTAGTAGCAGCTAATTAACGATAATTTTTTCAAAGAATGATTTTTTAATTGAACAAGATATAATTACGATTGTGATTTATTAACTACATATATGATATAAAACATACGTGTATAAAAATAAATGATAGATTTAAAATTAATCTAGTATACAATATATACGTAACTGATTCTTATATTGATGTACATTCAAAGTCAATATTCACATTTTTCGCGAAGATGTAATAATCAATTTGAAATTTATATTTATCATATTTATTAGAATATTTTTTATTTATAATTTTTTTTATATAATTGATAAATTTATAATTAATAATTTAATTAATTTAATTAATTAATAATTTGAATATATAATTTGCAATTGATCACTTGTTAAATAAAAATTAAATAAAAATTGAAATATTTTAGAAAAACAAATTTTATAAAAAATGACAAAAAAAATGAATAAATATATTTAATATTATTTTTAAAATTTCATTATTAAAATTTATACAAATTGAATAAGATTATTATCAAATAAATTATACTGCCTTAAAACGAAAATCTTAATTATCATTTGTAAATTGCTATAATGGCTTTTATAATTAATAAATCATCAAACTGAATTAATAAAATATTTTGTTTTGAATTGTATCATTTAAAGAGATTGCAACAATGTTTCATTTCTTTTTCTTTCGTTTTTTAAATGACTTATACTGTTTTGCATTTATGAACTTTAGTAAAAAGATAAGATACATTATCTTAAAAAAAAATTAATCTTATTGCATATATTTTCAAATATAGAAAAACAAAGTGTAACTGCCATAATAAATTATTATAATGCAATTAATTTAAATAATTAAGAGTGATTGTAGGAAAGTGCCTAATTTTTTAGTTAAAAAAAATAATATTTATATATATTTGAATCACATTTTAATATTTATTATTATAATGTATTATTTTCATATTCAAAATGATTTAAATTTTGTGTTTAAAAGTAGAATTTTTTTTATTCATAATTTCAATATTTTTTTTATTCTCTAATTAAGTGTATCTAATGAATATTTAATATTTAATAAATAATAATGAATTTTTCTTCAGAAAAAATATATAATCATTTACATCATACATGATAATATTTTTTGCAACTAAGACATCAAAAGAAATTCAAAAATTACTAGATCAATGGAACATCATTATCAGTATTTATATAATAATGAATATTATATTTAATTAAAATATCTCATCAATAAAAAACCATTTTTTTCTATAGATTAAATAAATTCAATCTCTATGTTAAATACATATAACATGTTAATATTCTATTTAAAAATTAAAAAATTAATATTCATGATGGTCATTCTTTATTCTTTTACGAAGAAAATCTTTTTTTTCTTTCTTTCAATATATAAGTAAACATAGCAAACTTCAACGAATTTCACATAGTAAGAAATAAAAGAGAATGTAAATTGTCCTTGATATATAGCTAAATCAACATATGCCTTTACCATTTGTGTATATCACAAATGTGCAATAAGATTGACAATTCGCATCTCTATTTAATAGATTTGAACGATTAGTTTTGATTAGTTCCTTCCTTATCGAAGTTTATTATTAATTCAATGATTCATAGATTATGACAATATTTCAAAATCAATTGAAAAAAAGAATTTTATTTATCCTTAAATATTTTATTTCTCAAGATTTTTCATAAGTATTTGATTTTTTAAGTATTTAAATAGAAAATATTATATTAGAAATAGTTTCTTTACCAAATTACGTTATTATCACTAATAAATCATCATTAAATATAATATTATCAAATATAACACTAAAATATTAATATACTTGAAAAAAAGAATTAATTTTCTGAAATAATAAAACGACACGGAATTTGTGAGTTAATATCTTCGTTATTAGAGATATGAATGAGTTCAAACACCGTATAATTATCCTACTTACAATCTATAATCGCATTATGTAACATATCAATAAGGCAAAAATTTGATTTCAAATCTTTTGATGGTCATGGTTATGTAAATATATTTTTTATAGTGCTGTGTCATAACTTGCGTAAAATAACGAAATATTTAATCTGTAGTACTATATATCAGATATTTTCGAATTTGATATGATTTTTAATAATAAAAACATACCGATTGAATCATGAATAGAAATCTTTTCGCAGTTTTCTGCAATATTTTCTTGCCTGCTATTCAAACTTAATGGATACTAAGTGTATATACAGTATTAAGTTTCAAAAATATTTTATCGATACATAATACTTAAAACTATGTCATTAAGAAAATTATGCCATTAAGAAAATCTAAAAATCACATTTATATTTGAATAACCACTAATTTTATTTATCGAAATGTACTAATGTACTAATTAGTCTTATGTTTCTAAAAATATATTATCTATTTTAAATTTTCAACAGTAATAATTTTCTAAATAACTCAAATTTTCATTAAAATTAAAAACGATCATTATTTATTATTAAAATTTTGTTTAAATATTGTTATATTAATTTCATAAAAAAAAAAAATAACGTATCATTCATTTCCAAGTATTCTACGTCACTACTTTTATTATGTTCTCTTTTCTTAAAGATAATATTTGCAGTAGCAGAATCGCGCAGATTTTTAGCTCTAAATTAATAAAATAATTAGTGTAATATATTTATCAAGTTTTTTAATATTAATAAAATATTATTAACTATATTAACTATATTATAGTAACTATTATAGTAACTATAACATTTAATATTTTTCAAATAAGAAAAAATTGATCATTATATTATAATTATATTATTAAAATTTTTTAATGACTAAAAAGCTTTCTTATTTATTTTTCTTAAATATACATATAATATATATATAAATTTATCAAAAAATATAAAAAAGTTATGAAATTAATACGAATCATCTTTATTTCGATCTGTAATTGTCTTTTTTATCTATAGAAATATCGAAAGATTCTAAATTAGATTTTAAAAAGAAATAGATGTCTATTACATTTATATAATATGATTTGATTTTTTATCACTTATATAACAATGTTTTAATCCCATCAAATGGGAAGAATATACGCAATAGAAAGCATGATATTAATATATTCAAACAAAATGAATTTCATGAATATAAGAACTCTTATAATATATCAATGAAATAAATGCAGCATGCGATATCATAACAAAAAGAAGATATAGATAAAATAATAAATAAAAAATTACATTGATTTTAACATAATATAAAATTTTCTAAATTATATATGAAAATTTTGTTATCAAAGTGTTTTTTATTTAAAAAATAATTTTAAAATATTAAAATAATCATTGATTTTAAATTTAATTATTATTACTCAGGAAAGAAAACCATACATCTGATTTAGATAATATTTTTCAAACATAGAAAGTTTTTCGAATAAAACTCTAAAAGAGATAGTTTCGATTAAAATTATCGAGGAAATAGAAACGAAACAAATATTTTATTTTGTATGAAAGTCAATTATCAGAATAAGTTTTTGATAATTGTCTGGCAATGTCAATTTGATATCTAAAGAAATATTGATACGGATATACATACATTAATTTTTATACTTTATTACTATTGTCAACTACGCTAAAAATAGAAAAAAAATTATTTATCTTTTTCTTTATATAATAAAATAAATATAATTTTTTCATAAGCTGAATAAATAAAATACTCAAAATATGAATTAACTAAATAAAATAAAATAATTAAATCTTTCAATTAAAATGAAATATTTTAATTAAAATTGAAGATTTTTCGGCAATATAGACACAAGTTTTCATTTTTTAAATCTTCGTACACTTTCTGCTTTAATTACACGTAAATAACTATCTACTCATCAACTGTTAGTATGTATTTATAACTATGTAAATATTGCGTTTTATTATAACTATGCATCGAAAATTCAATAAAAAAAAATAAAACAATAAATATTTATTGTTATATACAATATCATAAATATATATATATATATTAATCTACAATACAGTTTTGGAGCTATAAATATCGAAATAATTATTCTCATTCTTCTTATCACGTTCGACCTTGGCAAATGCTCGTTCACATGCATGCCCGTATGCATTACGCATCTTGCAATGACTCGTGAAACGAGGCGTGTCTCGTTTTAAGCAAGTGCACGTATGTATGTAAGTACTTAGGTCGTTAGCCCGGATACATGTTGCGTGGAATACAGTTGCGAAGAATTTGATACGTGATGGGCATAATCTTTCGATCATTCCTTTCACCGAGATTATTAGGTGATAATTCTCCACTTGTCTTTGTTCACTTTGAAATAGTTAAATAAATAAGAGAGATAATAATAAATTCTAGAATTTAATCGACTGTAACAATATGTGTTCGTTGAATTCATGAAATTCATTTAATTTTGAATAATTTGATTAAACGGTTGTCTGATTGATCACTAAAATCGAAATGATCTACAATAACAAGGGACGAAGACATCGTTAATTTTAATGTTATTTGTGAAGACTAATTGAAAATTGGATGAATTATATTAAACTTCGACATTTATTATATAATACATTAATAAAAAAAACTTAATTAAAAAATAAAAGCTATAATAAAAAAAACTTTAAATAAATATTTTTAGAGCGAATTTTATACGAATATTCGAAATACGAAAATGAATATTTTTTAAAAAAATTCTAAACAATATAAGTCTAATTATCTGTCATAAATTATCGATGTAAGATAGTAATCATGACATGGAAGATCTGACAAAAGAACAAGATTTCTCTAAGGAGAATCGTTATACATATAGTAAAAATAACAAAATTTTTTTATAAATTCGAAAGATAATTGAATTATATGTAATAAATAAATTCATTGGTTTTTATAAAAATTACGTTTTAGAATGATTCATATAATTGAGATAACACAATTACAAAAGAAATATTTTAAAAATAAAATATCTTTTCTGAAATCAAAAAATAAAAATAAATAAAGCATTTCCGTGTAGATTTTTTAATGATTGTGATATTTTATTTTTTTCGAAGAATAAGATATGCATTGAAAATAATCTTTCTGATTAAAATAAAAATATAAAAATAAAATTGAATTAAATAATAAATTAATTATCAATAAATATTTTGAATTATTTATTTAAGCGAAAATTTGAAAATATCTATTTTTGGGTAATTTTGTAAAACTTATGAAACTGTATTTTATAATGATAAAAAAATAATAATACAAAAAATGTTTGTAGTTGTACAAAAGATATATATAAAAATATTCAAATATTATAGGAGTGTCTTTTTCTTTGTTATAAATAAAGATTAAATTATATATGAAATATTTCTAATCAATTTTAGCATTTATGATATTTTTAATATCAAATGTTTGCTATACTAATATTAATAATCTTTTCCTGTATTTGGCAAAGATAAAAAGTGTTAATCATATGAAGCATATAAGGTCATTTTCTTCATTGTATTATGTTATATAATTCAATATTTTTTCCATTTTTTAAATTAAAATATTCATAATGATAATTATGAAATATTATTAAAATAGTATTCAAATTATTCAAATAGTATGATATTATTCAATATTCAAAATGGATTTGTGTCAATAAAAATTTATCTATTTGATTTTATTCCATGATACAAATTACAGCTTTCTTATCATCGCACAAGGAAATAACTGCTAATCTGATTCATTGCATCATTATTTCCGATTCACCTCTTCTATATTCTTTTATATTCTTCACGACTAATCTAATATAATTATAATAAAAAATAAATTTCTTCTTTCGCAGCGTACATTATTCCGTATCGAACTTTACAAAATGTTCGAATCCTCGTTTCGATGGATCATTCTTGGAATTGTTATCGCGACATGTTACGCGGAAATTCGATGTCCAACGGAACAAAATTGCAACTGCTACCTAAGTCCAGAAGGAGTTTTTGAGATACAATGTCCAACGGATAGTTATTCGGCCTTCGTTGTGAAAGTCAAACTGTACGAACGTATTGGGGTAAGCATGAGTGAATCATTAATGAAAGTCGTGAAGAGATAGAGAGATTTCAATAAAAAGCAAAGATGAAATACAAAAATAAATTTTGTACAAAAATATACGATTTTCATGGGCAATATATAAAATATGAAAATCATTTATTATACTGATGTAAAATTTTTATTATGTATTAATGATTTTATTAAATGTTTCATTTAAAACAAGATAAATTAGCAATCATTGAAATTATTTTTGATTTTACATTATCAATCCTAAATTGGATTTTTAAAATAAAGATGTCTATAAGTCTAAATCATCTTTCAATATATTAAATTATTTAAAATATTGCATATTGCATATATACATATTGCATAAGAATTTTAAATGAATAAATTTATAAAATTTATAAAATCAATTAGCAGTTCTAGCAAATAAAAATTATTTTGATTTATTTATTATGATTTATTATAAGAAAATATATTTTATAAACTTTATTAAAAATGGCTTAACGATGATTAAAAATTAATTGATTCTATGTACAAATTATTTTTTTATTCTATTGTATTATATCTGTTGTATATATTTCTGTATATATATATATATATATATTTGTTATTTTAAAAATAGAAGCATTTGAATGTTAAATAGAAATATAATTTGCATAATTATGTACTTTATTTTTTAATTTTTCTCAACATAAGATTTGAAATTTTTATTTTCTATTAATTTGATAATAATTTACATGGAAAAAATGATCATGATTCATCGAAAAAATAAAATTTCTTTATTTTTCTAGATTGAATGTGTAAATTTTCCAAAATGGATTGACTTTCCAACAAATGTGTTACCACCTGAAAATGTAACTCTATTGTATTTTAAAATGTGCGAATTACCAATAAATCAGAGTTTAAATGAGATCTCGAAGAAACTCGGTGTTCAAAACATAGAGAAACTGATATTTCATTCATATGGCAAATTATCTGTTCTGAATAGGAAGCATCTACAAGGTTTTCCAAACTTAGAATATCTGAGCCTGACGTGTAATAACTTGACCAATTTTAGCAATGATATTTTCGCGGATATACCACGATTGAAGAATCTCAATTTACGCCAAAACAATATTTATTCATTATCTGAAATTTTCAATTACATACCCAATTTAGAAATACTTGAACTTGGTGATAATAAGCTGAAGGAAATAGACGTGAACACATTCAAACCATTAAAAGCACTAAAAATGTTAAATATGTGGGGGAATAAGTTTACAGAGTTTAAATCGAATATATTCGACAATCTTATATCATTGAATTCCTTGGACGTGAGCAGCAATCATTTAAATACTTTGCCTAATGATATTTTCGCGAAATTGATAAATTTGGAATTATTACATTTGGCCTGGAACAACTTTTCCTCGCTACCAAAAGGTCTACTGCAGCACAATGTTAAATTAAACAAAGTAAAATTATCTAATAATAGAATAAACATGAAGTCATTACCGAATGGATTCTTTGCGAATTTGAAGAATCTGAAAGAGATAGAGCTGAATAATAATGGTTTGATAGAATTGCCTGATCTATTTCATGATTCCATATCGCTTGAGATCATCGATTTGTCTTTCAATAATCTTGAGTCTCTTCCTGAATATCTTTTTACGAATTTGATGAATTTAACGAAATTAATAATTAGTAATAACAAATTAACATCATTGCCTGATAGAATCTTCTTACAATTGAAGAAATTGATTATGTTAGATTTGTCTCACAATAATCTTACTTCAATATCTCGGTAAGTTTAATACTAGTAATTTAATACTAGTAAATAAAGTAATAATAATTTATTGAAAAATATTTTATGTAAAAAAAAAAATAAAAATAACAAAAGCAATATTACAATTCAATAATTACAATTTTAATCTATGAAAAAATTTATATGTAGTTATACTTTAATGAATTTATTTATTTTGATAATCTCATTCTTAATAAATTGTTTTTTAGATTATTTTATTTTTTATTAATGGATAATTTTTAATTTTTGTTTCTTTTTTAAATCTTTATTTTTTTTTTAGTTTTTGTCATAATATTATATAATATTCTATGATAATAATATTATATTGTATGTATCAATACAATTTTATAATTATAACTTGATAAAAAAGATAATTTTAAAAAATTTTTTTATAAAACCGTTGTCTAAATTCATAAAAAAAACATTTTAAAACTTTAGGATTACAAGTTTTATTTATTTTTGATATTTCAGACATCTTTTTAGTGGTTTAATATCACTTCAAAATTTAAATATGGAAAAAAATCAATTAAAGATTATAGAAGAAACAAGTTTTAATTTCTTAACCAAGCTACGCATTGCAAAATTTTCTAACAATCAACTTACATTCAATACTTCGATAAATAGCTATATTGATGAATATGGAAGGAGATCACCTTTTCAAAGTTGTTCATCTTTAGAAGAATTGTATTTGGACAAAAATAATATTTCGGACATATTTGGTGATTGGCTTGTAACTCATGTAAAGCTGAAGAAATTAAATCTCCAGTTTAATCAAATACAAGAAATATCAGTAAGATAATAAAAATATTATTTTTTATATATTATTATATTATATATTTATATCATTTGAAAATTATTTTTCTTTTTTATTAAAGAAATAAAATTGTACATACAACTGTACATGTATATAATAAATCTTAATAAAATATTTTTTAAACTTTTATTTTCAAGATTTAATTAAAATTAATATATAATATATAATAATATTATATATAATATTAATATATAATATCTAACAAAATTATTTTATTAATTAATTCTATGATATGCTTTATACAAATATTCATTTCAGATCCGAGATTTACAATTTATATCAAATTCAATTGAAGTGAATCTCACAAATAATAACATAAAACATATAAATTTGAGTGAAGCTAAAGAAATTGCAGGATTTCAACAAGATTCTCGGAATGTAATGATATATATTGAGAATAATCCTATCGAATGTGACTGTGATATATTTGATTTTCTTCTTTATTTGGAAGGAAAATTGGATCCTAACGTTTATAGATATTTTCACATCGTGCCAGGATGCTTGACATGTCAAAATTCACAAATGTTTAAAGGCAAAGAAATAGTAAAATTAGAATCAAAGAAATTTATCTGTCAAATATCTAATCCTTGTCCTAATGAGTGCACATGTTATTCACAACAAAGTAATAAAGAATTCACAATAAATTGTTCGCAAAAAAATCTTATAAGCGTGCCACGAAATATCGAAACATTACTAAATTATAAACTTGTGATAGATCTCACGAATAATAAATTAAGCGAAATGCCATCTTTGACAGAAATTGGTTTAGATAATGTACAGATATCCAAGTTGCTATTATCAAACAATAATATTCATGAGATATCTGTGGATGGATTACAATCGAACATAGAGGTGGGTAAAATATAATTCTTTATCTTTAGGAACTTTTTCCTTTCATAGTTTTTTATCATACCTTTTGTTTTTAACATATTCTATTTATTATTTATATAATTAAGATTACTTTATATAATGTATAAAATTGAACATGTTTAAATAAAATCTAAATATCAATTAATTTTATATTTTTCAGTTGGAGTTACACAACAATAATATCAGTAAATTAGAACCAAATGTTTTACAATTCCTAAACAATAGTTCATCGTTAACATTGCATGGAAATCCATGGATATGCGATTGTGATACGAAAGATTTACTTAGCTTTATACAAACTAAGATTTCAGACATTCGTAATTCTTCTCTAATTACTTGCAAAAATATGAATATTTCGATGATAAAAATGACAGTAGCAGATTTCTGTCCTACTTATACTGCGTTAATCATATCATTAAGTTTTTCTTTAGCTGTCTCAGGTATGATAATTGGTCTGCTAGCAGCAATTTATTATAGATATCAACGAGAAATTAAAGTTTGGCTGTATGCACATCAATTTTGCTTATGGTTAATAACAGAAGACGAATTAGACAAAGATAAATTGTATGATGCATTTATAAGTTATTCACATAAAGATGAAGATTTTGTTGTAAATGAATTAGTTCCAAAGTTAGAAAATGGACCTAAACCATTCAAATTGTGTCTGCATTTTCGTGATTGGCTAGCTGGAGAATGGATACCAACACAAATCGCGCGTTCTGTTGAAGAATCCAGGCGAACAATAGTAGTTTTATCACCCAATTTTTTGGAAAGTGTTTGGGGACGAATGGAATTTAGAGTGGCGCATTGTCAAGCACTCAGCGAACGCAGATCAAAAGTTATTTTAATTTTATATGATGAAATTGGTCCCATTAATAATTTAGATCCAGAACTCAAGGCATATATGAGCATGAATACATATGTAAAATGGGGTGATCCTTGGTTTTGGGACAAATTACGATATGCGTTACCACATGCTGAATTTACAAAAAATGTTATAAGAAAAAAAATTTTTCAAAAACACCAACCATGTATACAAATTAAAGGCGAGAAGAAAGAGTTAATTTATCCAATTGATACTTCTGAAACACCCCCTGCAACAAGCACTCCACCGACAGATACTCTTAAAATATTTATATGTGATAAAAAGGATAGTGATAATAAAGAGAATTCTCAAAATCTTTCTTCATCAGATTGCAACACCAAACTTATTCTTTCAAAGGAAGAATTAGTAAAACATAATTTGGTTAATAAAGTACAATGTACTACCGTATGACAAGATCATCATAAATATATATAATATACGAAACATTTGAAGAATGTTTTGTTTAAACAAGTTTTGAAGTACTCATTTTACATTAAAAAATGAATTTATTTATAATTTTATTAAGATCATTTGAAATTAACACATTCATTATCACAGCATAAAAACCAATTGTTACAATTCATTCACTTCAATTTATATAGTAAAATATATAGTAAAATAATAGACAAACTGAATATCATATACACCTATAATTAAGATATTCAAACTAAAAAATTTCTATTTATATGATCAAAGAATGGAAAACTGTTGCTTTTACACAGAGTCTCATGGCGAATATTTATTGTATGTATTTAATGATGATAATGAATATATTAATAATTTTTTTTTAAGTAAAAATTCATGCTAAGTAATATAATAACATGCATAAACATATTTATGAGTCATTTTGGATATATTAAAATTATAAAAAATATTTTAGTTGATTAAATGCAAATCAATTAATTTATTTAAATAACTTCAATTTCGAAATTTTCATTATGAAATTTTCTAAACGTCTAAATGAATATTGATAATAATTCAAAATTCTGTATCAATTAATTATTTTACAGACTTATAAATTTGTTTTGTGAATTTCTAAATATCAATATAAATAGATGTTAAAGACAAATTACATTTACTGACTGAACAAACTTATTGTTAATTTTAAAAAATAGAGATTATTGTAAATAAGTATTTTTATAAGAATTTTTACATTTTGAATAGATTTTACTTCTAATGTGTTCTCATTATTATTATTGAAATAGATTAATAATTATCATATAAACAGAAAATTAATATTCATTAGATATTTTTAAAATTATTTTTAAGATAAAATTTTTTTTATGTATACCATAAATTACAATTTGTATTTTATATATACATATTCATTACTTATAAAAACTACTCATAAAAATTATAATATTAACTTTCATTTAATATTTGTAAATAATCAATATATTTAGTATTTATAAGATCCAAAATCATGTTGCATAAACGCCATAGGAGATTTAATTTATATATAAAATCAAATTTGATAGGAACATAAATCAATTTTTGTTACCATTTATATTAATTTTCCATGGAAACTTAGAATGACATATGAATATATATATATACATATATTATATTTTAAATATTCATTATTCATTATTACTATTTTGTTTGCTCAATTTTATGAGCACAATAATTTTTTGGTTATCAAGAAATCATAAATTGTTCATGTTTCAATAAAGAACTATAATACTAATTGATACTAATTGAAATTTTTGATAACAAAAATAAATAATGAATCTCGTTACAAATTGTTAATTTATTAATGACTTTTAATGAATTTTTATTATATAATATTAATATAATTATTATTAAATGAGTACCTGAAATAAATATTAATTACACAAATATATTTAAAAATGGTATAATTATATACTATTTTTAATTATTAATTGTATTATATTTTTAGTTACATTCAAATAATTTTTTATATAAAATTACATATATAATTAAAATTATCTTTTCCTTTTCACATGTTTAATCTTTTCTTTTCTTTCTCATGCAAAATTAAAAAAAATTTAAGAATACAAAGAACATATATTTAAATTAAATTTTAATTATACGAATATTAGATTATATCTTTTTTTACTCATTATATAAAATTAATAATATTTCTTTTTATGATGTATATATTCAAGCAGTAATAATAAACAATAATAAATGGATGAAACTATTGATTTTATTGAAATAAAAATTATTACTTACCCACAATAATTTTGGTGTGCCAATTCCTATAGATTTGTTACATATAAACCATACTTCAGATGTATAAAAACCTGATTAAAAATAAATGAAGATAATATAATAACATGAATCTGATTCATAATATTCTTAATAAAAATATCATGTACTTACCATTTACACATTTACTACCATTAGAGTACTGAAGTTTTATAACATTTCTGCCATAATCAAAAATTACATTTACTAGTGATCCATATTCATTATTTCCTTGACATATAGCAGAACTATCACAGACTTTTTCCCCGCCGCATATATTTATACTATATTCTTTTCCTTGTTTATTCTTTACCTATAAATTTATATTCAAAGCAATTTTAAGAAATTATATGTATATTACATTATTATTTCATATTGATATTATATTATTATTTAAATTATTTTAATTTAAATAATATATATATTATAATAATAATAAATATATTTAATTTATAATATTAATGATTATTTATAATTTAAGTGATTTATTTATTATTATAGTTTCATTTTTATATTATATTATAGTTTCATTTTTAAAGTATTAAAAATGTTTAAATTAATTTATGAAAAAATTATTAGAAATGTTTTAATAAACTTACATAATATACTTTTTCATTTTTATGTAATAAAGATAAATTGCATTCATGTGAAAATAGTTGATCTTTTACAATGCAAGGGGAGATCCAATTTCCCATTGCAGCTCCACATGTTATACTTGTTTTCCATTCAAAAATGTAAGTGCAATCTTCATACTTCTTAAATTCCGGAAGTCCCTAAAAAATCAGTTTCAAAATAATTACACAATTACAATATTATTTCTTAAAATCATCAATATTTTTTTATAATCTAATAAATATTGATTGATTACCTTATCATTATTATAACATGGAAATGTAAAATTTGAAGAAATTAATTTATTTGAATTTTCAGGACATATTGATCCATCGACGTAATGTAATACAGTTTCATGATTTTTATTTAACATAGGGCTTTCTTTTGACAATCCTAAACTCTAGCAACAAATACAAATATTTTTTTCTATAATTATTTCATTTCATCAAAAGCAAATTAATTTAAATAAATATTACATATATTATCTACCACTGCAAAATATTATTATAATTATAAATATATATATATAATTATATTCAGAAAAATTTAAATATTGATAATAATTTTGTTAAATTAAAAAAAAAATAAAATTAATTTAAATATATGTATATAATATTTACTTACAGTTTCATTTACATATTCATTATTCGAATTTAATAAAGTTTTGCAAATTGCACTGCCATGTATACATGTTAAACCAGATGTAGGAACTAGTGGTCTACATATATTTATATGAAATTCAGTTTTATTTACTTTTATAATATAATTATCAGTAGACTTTATCAATGAACTTAAATTTATTTCATTGTCATCTGTAGCACATTTTATCTGAACAATAAATTATATATATAATATATATAACAATAACAAATATAATAAATAAATTAATAATATTCAAAATACTAATAATAATTATAAAAAAAGATATATATAAAAATATAAAAATAATATTCTAACCCTTTGTTCACAAACTAAATTAGTGTTCCAATGTATAATTAATTGGCAAGTATTTTGTTCCATAATAAGTGGTTTATCTGGAGATCCTTCTGGCCCACAAAAAAATGCAATAATTGTATAATGTCGTTGTTCATTTTCACATAAATCTCCATCTGTATAATTTAAATATGGTCCACCTTCTTCCCATATTAAATTTGTATTAGCTTTCCCCATAGATATTCCCATAGATTTATTTTTATTAGAAAGACAAATTCCTAAATGTAAAAATAAAAGATACATTTATAGTACAATTATATTGAAGAAATTAATTAAATATAAAATAATTGAATAACCTGTTCCTGTTACACATGAATTATCTACAAGTGATTCACATATTTTAAATTTATATTGTATGTCATTCTTTGTTATTGTAAAATTTTTATTCATTAAAGACCGCAAATCGTATCTGAAATAAAATATTTACTATAATTAGTAAAATTTTATTCTCAGAATATTATCTTTAATAATACATAATTGAAATATTTTCTCAAATCATACGTAAAATTTGTAAGAGGATTATTCACTGTACATTTCCCAGCAGTAGCTATACTACTATTACGTAGAAATTCTATACTGCAAGCTGCTCTAGTTTTCCATATTATTTGATAATGACATTCTTCACTGCCTCCAATATATTCTGGAAATGTATCCTAATCGACATCAAATAACAATTTATAAAAAAATAAATATTAAATAAAAATAAATAATATGCATAGTGATTACCTTAGCCTCAAAATCACATATAAAAGAAATAGTAGTTTTAATATGTGGTATTGTAATATTTTTCACTTTACACAAATCTCCATCTTGATATTCAAGCATAAGTTTTCCATCTGTTATAGTTGGAGATTGAACATCACCTAAGTTCACATATCTATAATAAAATATTATTAATAATATCTATATATTTATCAATTTTCTATTTCAATCATGCTAATTATTACAAATATAATTTTTACTTAAAATAAAATAATTTATACCCAATTTGTGATAAATTTTGTAAACAGGCTCCTGAAGTTGATTGGCATAAAGCATTATATTCAAATATTACAGAATGACAAACATTTAATATAATCTTTGAAGATGTTTTATTATCCATTAAAATAATATAATTTTGCGAATAAGATATTAAAGGTGATAGATCATAGTGCAAACCATTATTTATTACTGTACAATTTTTTTTAATTCGAGGTCCACAAGCAAGATGAGTTTTCCATATCATGAATATATTACATGTTTTTAATGTCTAAAATATTGATAATAAAATAAAATTAAAAATTCATTTTATTTTAAAAAAACATTGTACTATTTAAATTTTATTTATTTTATAATATATTAACAAATAATAAAATAAAAATATTATCATTAAAGTTAAACAAAAATCTTAATGCATATATACATACATTAGGAAATATATCAGGATAAGAATTTTCAGCTTCATAATCACATTTCATAATAATATTTACAGTATATTTTAATTTAGATGTACAATCATCACCTGTGAATATAAATGATATTCTGCCCTGAGTTATATTTACTATTGGAGGCATTTTTCCTAAAGTAATAAAACAAAATTATTATTGAAAGAAAAAATTAATGTAATTTTAATAGATATATATATATATATATATAAAATTAGAACCTATTCCTTT